TTACAGTCTGATTTTGTTTATGCAGGCTGGGATCAGTGATGAACCTTCAGAAGGTCAAGACACAGTTTAGCCAATTACTTAAGGTTAATTTTTTAAAAAAAATTTATCAATTTTGTATTTATTCTTACATTCTCAGTATGTTTTGGAGCTAGACTGCAAATATTTAGTTTTAAGCTGCCTGGTATTCTTGTCTCAGCCATTTGGGGTCATTTTTGCGCTGACCTTCATAGCCACTGCAGCAGAACTTCAGGGAAGATTTGGGACTTTTTAAAAATGCTTTTCAAATTGGTGCAAATCTAGGCGTTTTCAGCTCCTCTCACCTCCAAGACACAAATGGATGCCAGACCAAGTGGTCTAAGATACCAGCGTCTGAGCAATCATCACTTTTGCTTAAATGACTTGCAGCACACCCCATATTGGGCCATACCCAGCAACAGGAAGGCTGGTAAACTGCCCTGCATGACCAGCTTTGCCTGGCACACAATTTGGGCTGGCTTGGTACCTATAGCCACCAGAGCAGGGGCTGACCCAGGCTCTGAAGCTGCCACTGGCCATGAGCAGGATATACTCACTTGCTCTCTCTCATGGTGATAATTAATTTTTATGAATGAGGGTGAGGGAAAGGATGTTAGAAACAGATTGATTATAATAGGCTTTTAATTAAAATGTTCAAACCACAATTTAAACTGAAAATATCCTATTACTTATCTTCACTATTTCACGGGCACTAAGGCAGCGGGTGATAATGTAACTAATGATCTGATTGTCACCAGCTTGTATAATGAAGCGTGTCTGGGGGCTGATCGGATTACGCCATCAATCAAACCCCTTTGCAGCGCTCCCTCCTTCAGCAGAGCTCCCTGCAGGGCAGTGTATGCCTTTTCCAGCTCCTTCCCAGCTGTAACCTTTATTGTCTCTCCCCAAAGTGATGAGCTGCCATAAGGGGGGCAAAAGTTGGGCTGCAAGCAGCTGAAGTTTGATGATCTTCTGTGTGTGGTTATAACACTTCACAGATGATTTTGCTGGGAGGTGACCATTTTATGGCTTTAACCTGACAGTAAATCCTATTTATCAAAATGGCTAGTGATCAAAGAAGAGCCTAGAAACTGGGTCCTGCCACCCTGGCTCTGACATAAAGAGGACAACAACATGTTGTCTGGATTAACAGTAGGGTGAGGGCCATCAACATGCCATGGCATACCTGAGCTTCCAAAGGAGAAAGCTCAGTTTGAAAATCCTGTGGCAGCTTTCGAGTGTCTCAGTGGAATGCGGACTTGGGTGGTTGTGCTCAAGACATTGATGGCCACCACAGCACCTGAATGGGGCTTTCCAGGACAAGAGTGAGCTGTGTCAGACTCAAAAGCCTGTCTCACAGCTAGGATTTGTTTGCAGCAGAACAGAGGATCTTCACCAGCCCATCCTGTCCTGCTGCATGATTGCCCAACAGCTCTGGACTTGCCCCAGGGACCAGCATGACTTTCAAGCCACCTTAAAACACTGGGTTCAAAGGCATCCACATAAGATCAGCTTCTTGAACAGCTCAAGTGTCTGTGGATTGGGAGAAGACAGATCACCTCAAAGTTTGTGTCATCAATCACTCTGATCAAAGCTCCCTCCCTCCCTGTTGCTGGATTGCCCCCAATTAACTGACAATAAATTAGGCATCATCTCGTTTAACCATTATGAGACCAAAAATAGCATAAGGTTAGAAAATGCATTGGTACATTAAGTCCTGTTGTCCAAACTGCCTGTAGAAAGGTATGCTGGCTGGCTCCTGTGAACAGCCACGTCTAAGCAGACAGCTGGGTGTTTCCTCCCTGTCCCCCCCAGCCCATGTATGTATGGTTAGAAATACAGAAACAAACTTTAAAAAAAGTCTTAAAGCAATTTCAGAGTCCTGCAAAAATAATTTGATAAATTAATGACAGTGGTTATAATTACAGAGCATGTAATGAGTTCTTGCTCCAATTACTGCAATACCTTCAAGATCTCAGCCAAACTGATTTCTCTGATAAGCCTGCTCTACAACATAGGCATCATCAATACCAGCCACCAAAAAAAGAATGGCAATTAATACGTCAAAGAAAACCAGGAAAATCCAGCTTCTGACTCAGCCCACATTGAAACACTGTGACCAGTCTTGGGGCCGGGAGCTGGCTCCTGCCATACCTCGAGGTAGAGCTCAGTCCTGGGAGCTGGGGTAGTGGGGCACTGACCCAGCACTGGGCCAGGGTATGGACTGGCCCTCACCCCAACACAGGCTGACTGCAGTGGGGCTCTGAAATACCTTCATCTGGCACCTGGGACCACCTCAAAGCTCAATACAACCCATTTGGTCTGGGAGGGGGTTTTGGCATCTCCTCGGTGACAGTAAGGGACTACCTGCATTCCCATGTTTTAATGTAGGGGAGATAGGCCTTTTTGATACTAAATTCTATTCAGTTCCCACTCAAGGAGGGGTTTTCAGTCAGAAAACTCTCTTACAACAACCTTTAGTGTTACAATTCACTCTCTCAGCAGCAGATACCGTTTGTCTCAACCAGAACTTAACAATGGCTTCCTTCTGCCTTCCTCCAGGCAAACGCTTTCACAGGTACACAGACCACTGAATCAGTTTTCTGGTCTATTAGTACCTACAGGTTGCATTCCTGGGGGAGCTGCCAAACTGCTCACGAGAGCACCTCGAAGCATTAGTTAACCTATCAGGTGCTCCACAAACTGAGCAGGCTTCAAGTCCATGACTCAGGAAATTCAGACCTGTGACACCAAGAGAAGAAGGAGAAAAGCAGCAGCTGCCACCAAGGGGGAGTAACTCACACAAAGTAGGAAAAGAAATATGCACATACCAAAATGTAATTAAGTATCATTGTTCACAGCATATGCTTTCCCTTGCCACTTGGAAATTTTCCAAGTATGCTGAACCCCTTAATTTACAAAACAATCGACCCAGCATGGTTAGCACATCCTGCAGACTTGCTTAATTTACATAACGTAGGGCATCTACTGCAGATTGAGCTGTTGTAAGCTGTACTCATTCAAGATGCTGCAGTTTTATTTGCAGTATTATTGTTTAAGGCTTCATTTTCATCCACATGTGGAGTTGTATTTTGTTTGTGGAATAAAAGGCAACAGAACATTTTCTGCCACTACTATTGTTAGCAGTGCTTTAATCATGATAATTTGAAACTGAAACCTGACTTTAAACAGTTCACAAAAGGCCACCCTCAGAAATCTCACAGAAAGCTGGCATCTGTAGAGTCCTTTACATGTATTTACACAGGGCACAGAATGTTTTTAATTGAGTTAGAACTCCATCACAGTCCATTCAGTCACAATGCTGGAGAAAAGTGATGTCTACCATATACAGTGCACTAGCTAATTATGAAAGTGAATTTTCCAGTGTCTTTGGAAAGAGGTAGTGTCAACTTTTGTGCTCTGCATGATGGAGTTTAAGGGGGAGAGAGGGGAACACCGGTCTACATACAAAGCTCATTCAGCACTCAATGCTCCAAACAGGCTCTAAGATTTTTCACAGGGAACTGTCAGGAAACAAAACTTTCTTGGGTGACGCCACTTCCCTGTGCACTTGTGAAGACTCCTGTTACACTGATTAAAATCCTTCACCTTTGACTTTTCCTCAGACCAACTTGACATGGAAGTCAACGCTGCTTGGTTGTGTTGGGCTACGCTGACTTGCAGTATTTCATGCCACAGGAATTTCTGACTGCCCTAGCTACTGCTCAGTCTGACCACACATCCATTCGTGCTTTCCAGCTGAAAAGTAGGAATTAAAAACACATTTCCTTTCTGCTCACCAGTCCTCTTCTTGGTACCAGACCCACTGCTGGGTATGTTTCGCCATGCAATTTTATTTTTTTGCCCTGTGTGACTGGCTTTGGGGCAATATGTTCCAAAGTTGATCAATCTTTCAGCAACTTTGAAACTAGCTATCATAACACTTCTGCCTACTATTTTGTGCTAATACAGTCTTTTAAACAGACCTACCTGTGATCTCTCCAATCAGCATCCAAGAAAACAGGAAGTGAACTATGTATGCCAGCAGAACTACAGACCATTGAAGGGAAGCTGGAGTGGATGTTGGGAAGATATTTCATGATTCCATTCTTGCCTCCAGCTTTGGTCATTTCTGTCACATGCCAGATATTGAACAAATGAGAACCATGAAAAATTTACTTTTGTAACAAAATTTATTTCTGCTCTGCGGATACAAATCCCAAACATCAACAAACAAATTCCAGTGGAAAAATACCAGTCATTAACAATGAAAACTTTTATTATTATTCAATAAATAGAACTTTGGCATTCAAAATTCTAGCTGTAAACCCTACTTTAAAAAAAATTACAAAAAGAGGCAAGAACAACAAGCCTAAAGCTGAGCCAGCCAGTGGCTCCTTTACTTTTTACAATGAACACATTGTGATTAAGTCATGACAACTCTATTTACATATGAGGTATTCTGAGCGGTTCAAAAATTGAACCCAATTTACAAAACTACCAGTCTTCAGGGACTGATCCAGTACATATGTCAGCTGTGCTTTTAGAAGAGAGCTCCAGACACTCCTCCCCACTGAACTAATGATATACTTAATTAATATACACAAACACATTATTTGTGTTTCCTGCTCACACATCATATTCAAAAAAGCTGCATACTACAACCAGCCTAACATTCAAAGTGTACACCTAGTACCTAGTTTAAGTACTTCTGTTTCTAGACATTATGCAAGAGTTCTTACTACAAAAGCTTATTAACAAAGTAATGGCAGGTGAGAAGAAAAGAAGGTGCAGTCATCAGCATCCTAAAAACTTATTTAAAGTTCAAGGGGAATATACATTTACTTCAGGCAAAAAAGGCACAAAGGTATGCAGCTGTGGAATTAATATTGCTAATTAGCTACTGGAATAAATCATCCCTTTAGATAATAACCATTGATCTGTTTGCAGTTTAAGAATGCAGATTAGTTCAGAAGATCTTTTTCCCACTCATGACAGAACTCGTCACATCAGTGAGAAGAGCACAATTATACTTCCAACTCCACCTGCATTATAGCGCTGAGAAGGACAAGGAGAACTGGAGCAAATTGTGCCCTTGCAGAGAGACTGCAGTGTGCCATCACTGCCCACGCTATGACACCAGGTTGTGGAGGACAGGGTTTGCTTTCTTCCTTTCCTTGTGCTCTTACCCTGCAAGAAAAATGTCCAAAAGAACATTTGAAAGAAAAGGTGGGCTGCGAGGGCAAAGGAAGGAAGGAAACCTTTTGAAGTGAAAAGGATGGAATTTCAGCTCTTGTAATGACTTCTTGACCACCAGCAGCTTCAAATGCTGGAGCCTGAGTGGGTGGTTACAGCAATCTCCACAATTTCACACAACTATCACACCATAAAGCTGCACAGCAGAGGCCAGCAACCTAAATCACATTTACACGACTGAGCTGCGTTACTTCTATACAGTAAATACATAGCATCCTCTACAGTTTGTCCGAAGACACTTACTTGCCGTGTCTTTTTCAAAGTACATTCTTAAATACAGTAGTTACTGTAAATATCTTCTGGAGGATCATATAAATTCAATCTGAAACTATACAAAATGTTACTGTACAAATTTGCTGACACCCAGAATGGTACAGTATCCATTCATCTGCAGTTTTTCAGCCCTTGGGATTGTCTAACAGCTACAGCAAAAAGTTGTCATGACTAAATCTAAGCAATTCCAATGTTAACATTCTTTAATCAACTCTGTATTAAATAAGCTGAATGACACCACACACACACTACATTTTAACCAATTAAACAGTCATGCATATCTTAGACAAAGCTTATTCCATTTAGAGGCATCTGTAAACTGATGCATATATAGTAATTGCTACCACTACAACAGGCCAAATTTTAAGGAATCAAAGCAAAATACTGCATCACTGTAGACAGTCAGTTGGTAGTCTGCATCTTTGGCTCATACATCCATCATTTACCTCCCTACTTTAATTTGACTGAGGTAGATAAACTCACGGGGTTTTAAAATCAAGTGCTTTAAAGTCAACATAAATATTACAGGTTCTGTAAGAAAAACATCACAATGCAAGATTACAGCGCTGCAATCAAAGTATTACAAATAAATTGGGACCTCCTTCCAGAGAAACTTTCAACTAATACTCGAAGACCATAAAAACTGAAGTGCTCTGCAAACATAAATTACTGATCTCAGCTTTCAGTACAGTATCACCCTTTAACAGGAGGGACACTGGAGGCACACCAGCCAAGTGACAAGCTTAACAGTTCAAAAAAATCTCCTGCTCTTCTCTAATTGCTCTATTAACCTCCTTGTTATTTTCATCAAATTTAGAAAAAGTGTTGCTTGGTAAATTTTTATAGGTACAACATTGCCATTTAAGGAAACAAACAACAATGTGTAACTTAGGTGTTTCCTCTCTCCCTAATGCTTCTCATTTATTATCTGAAATGCTATTGTTGAATTCTGGTAGGAGACAGATGCCATAAACTGAAGACTACTACTTCACTGCAGGACCAAAACCAGCAAACTACACCAAAGGAACGAGCTGAGGATTTAGTTACAAAAGCCAGTACTGACAGAGGCACAGAAAACCATGCCAGCCCATTTGTGCAAAGTTCCTTGTCTTCAGTTTTGCACTAGTAAAAAAAAGTACACCTTCAATGTGGAAGATGTGTATTAATGTGGAATTAATACTGCTAACGAGCTTCCAGAATAAATCACCCCTTTAGATAATTTCCATTGATCTGTTTGCAGTCTAAGAATGCAGATTAGTTCAGAAGATCTTTCCCCCAATCATGACAAAACTTGTTACATCAATGAGAAGAGCACACTCCTATTTCCAACTCCACCTCCATCACAGCACTGAGAAGGACAAGGAAAACCAGAGAAAATTGCACCCTTGTGGAGAGATTGCAGCGTGCATACAAAGGAGCATAGAAACTTAAAATAAAATGGCCTCATTTCTTTTCCTTTAAGTAGACACTAGACAATTTCACTTGTGATTTCCTCTAGACACTGTTCTAGTGCTCACAGAAGCTGAACCAGATTAATCTATCTGGAAACACCATGTAGCAGTAATATAAATAGCAACGTTATTTTTCGCAAATTAGTCCAAGTGTAGTTTCAGGATAGAGAAAACTGTGAAATAAATAAATGCATATAGTTAAAAAAAAATAAACCACTAAATTATAAAAACAACATTAATGGTAACAGTTTAACAATTGACAGAAAGCAAAATATCACCAAGTTAAAAATGGTAACCAGCATATGTTGCTTTACCACTTTTTTCTATTAACACAAATATAATCAGCAAACAGAAGATACTAACACTTTTGCCATAAAAATGTTACCCTAGAATTTTCTTGGTTCTAATTGCTAAGCTTTCTAAGAGATTTCTGCTGGTATCCCCACTACGTGTAAGTTGACTGACTTGCATTTTAAAGCATCTGAAACCTTCTTTTAGTCCCACACACGTAAGTGATGCACGTATTTTTCTTAACAGTGTGTTTTGGAAGTGGTTTTGCTCTTCACAAGTTTTTGTTTTCTTCAGTTAAATACTATTTTCCAGCATGCATAACTGTTCAGCTACCTTGCAGTAATGTTCCAGGAAATGTCATCTGTCCCATGGGAGTTAAACAGCACTGCCAGGTGATACTCATTGAATAAGCTATGGAACACAATCTTATTTTTTTAGGTAATTGCTTCCTACAAAAATGGAGAGATCAAAAATTCCAAAACAATGTGGCAAATGTTGCAGTTCTCGGATAACCAAGTACTTAAGACTTCTAACTGGAAAACTTCTGGTTCGAGCCCTGATTTTTCCAAGAGTTAAACACCCTTTCTATAGCTGTGGTAAAAAATGGTTGAGGTGGTGCACAACCTCATCAGAGGCCTTCAGCAACAGAACACAGACCAGCCACATTTTAAAATGGAGAGGACCTAAGGAAAAAGTTAATACAAACACCAAAGTACAGTTGTTGGTTGTTTTGTGTTTTTGTTTGTTTTCCTGCAGCCATGTACTATGCTGCAGTTTCATGTCTTATAGCTTCTCTGGGTTTGTCACAGACTTCATATTACTGAAACTTCTTACAGCAATGTGAGAGCACTTCAAACAACCTGATACAGCTATATTTTATGGACCTGTTTGCATAAAGGAGTTAAACTTGGGGGAGTTTCTGCTATTGGACAAACAATCCATTACTAAAACCATCTTTCCTATATTCCTATTTTTAGACAACTTGGATAGCAACTACTTTTTGTAGTGCTCCAAGATTGTTCCAACTGCAATTCTTAGAGTGAAGTGCAGTGGCAGAAATCCCTGGCTTCACCACATACAGCTACAGGTCCTTCGACCTTCTCCTCTAATATCAGAACACATATAATGCCACACAAACCCTTGATGAAGGAAAGGACTGAGAGCAGTAGCAGCACGGCTGTTTTGAAGCTCTGATTCCAAAAACTAGGTGAAGTAATGAAATGAGCCCTAATGAAGGAAACAGAGTGTCCAACTGAATCATTCTTCACAGCTTGTTCCTACATTCAGTAGTTTGGAGAAAAGATTTCTTGCAGTTTGTACCACTCTGTTCAATGCTGACTCTCCCCTCCAGACCAGACTCCCAAGGTTAATTATACGCAGCCCTCACAGGTGCATGTCTGGGGCTATTTGCAGCCTTCCAATATGGCTCCTTAGTAGAAATGAAAAGACCTGTGACACAGCAGGATTTAGTAAGTTGTTTTCTACTAGATGAAGTTTTGTCATTGAGTAATGCAATTGTCCCCCATGTCTTGAGCATAACGGTCTGACATTATAGTCCTTAATTCATCAATATCCTTCCGTAACTGACAAACGTCCAAGAGCTTCTTTGAAAGAGTTTCTGTGCTGTGGTAATTTTCGCTCTCTTCAGCTGAACAGCTCAGTGCTACGAAAAACAACATCCAAGGTTAAAGCTCTGGCAACTGTACTCTGTGAATACTTCAACTACTAATCCTCTTTGAAATAGGAGGTAGGTCACTTTAGTTACATCAAGACAAATCACACTTCAGCATGATGAAAAGCTAAGAAAACATGGTACCATGTGAACTTAAAGTCAATTCAGAGCCCATCAGTGCTTCTCTGAAAGATATGCTTTTCTGTTTGCACCAAGATCTAGACTTGCTGAAGTCTGATGAATCAAAACAGCAGTGAAAAAAACTGGACAGAAGAGCCATTTCCTAGAGGTTTTGGAGTTTTCTATAGCCACTCAGAAAAGAGGGCTAGAAGGCGTGTAGTAGCTCTTGCGGCACAGAACACTGTACTTTACCTTTTCACCCTGTTGATGGTTCAGTTCAGCAATCTGTCTACGTGATTAATTCCAATTAACATTCAGAAAACATTAGAATATGATACATCCATTTAAAAAAAATGTAACTGTTTGTTAGGCTTGTTAAAAGACCTAACACAAACTTTGTGTGACTGGTTTTAAAAGGGCATCTTTTCTCTCATTTCCTGGTTAAATTTAACAGCTTAGTAAGTGCTCAAGACTAGATGTACTGTTAACAGTACTAGAGATGAAGTTACCATGAGGCTTATTTAATACACATGGACCCCCATCCCCAAATCAGACATATACATCTTCAAACAACAGATGTATATTCCTACCACTTGATCCTAAGGGCTTTAAAACAAAAAAACCACCGATGTGTGTTTTTGTTTTAAAGCCCCATTAGCATCCATTAACCCTCACAGTGAGTGCACTATGTCTCAGGAGAGACAGACACCTGGCTACACATCTTTCTTTTCTAGAGCAGTGAACACAGCCATGATTGGGTCCACATGAAGAGCCAGCTACCTGCTTTCCTGACTTGGTAAGGACCTGTGTAGTCATATGCATTTAGTGGCACAGGCACACTAAGAGTTCAGCTTTTCCAGAGAGCTCCATGAGTTCGTGCACCACTCTTCCAGCAGCACAGTGAGGATACCAGCTTGTCCAGCTGGCAAGTTTGAGCAACACTTAGCTAAACTGTTATTCCTTTGTGTCAAAACATTATTAAGCATTGGCATGACAACATCACTTACATCTGATTCCCAGCAGTAAGGAAAGGTTAGGCTCCTTGCCCTGAGCTCTCTGGGTAAGAATACTGCACAGTGCTTTCAAGTCAAACAAGCAATGGGACATTTCCTTGAACAACTGGTCTGCTATAGGCATCTTCTCAGATACTGGCTGCCTGGACTGCTCCACCAGCCGCATCTGCTCCTTCAGGCAGGCATTCTCTTCCATCAGTCTTTGGTTCTTTGTGAAAATCAAATGGAAAAAAGGGGAAAGTTAAGTCTGCATCACGCACTATAGCAGAAAGTTTTCTGTTCCAAACCACAAACAATATAAATAAAAATAATTAAATTCCAAACATATAATCAATATTTCTGTACCTCTCCAAAGAATGGCAGATAGACAGCTTCTGTATGACTGTTTCATGTTACCATTTCTTAACCATCTTCACCCTTTAAGTTCTCCCTTCTTGAGGTAGGGATAGTATGTATTATACGTCTGCATGGTAGCCAGGACAGTTAAGACGTAATTAAGGTCATAAAGCCCTACCAAGGGATCTTATAATCATTCTATAAGGTTCTTCCCAGCTGGTGGGTTACTGGAGTTTTTACTTACTTCAGAGAGAGTTTTATTCAACTGCTCTATATTCCTTTCTTTTTCCTCAAGCTCATTTGTCATCTTCTGAATTATCAACTTTTCTTGCGAAAGCTTCTCTTGCATAGACTGAAGTGAATGAAAACAGAGGTAAAGATATTAAATTTTCATGCTTTATATCAGCACTTAGAAAAACTGCATCCTCAGTAAATTTCTAAGTTTCAATTACTTTGTGCTTTTGTACTAATTCTTCATTTTTTACTTTCTACCACGCTTCACCTGGTAATATTCAGCTGTACCCCAGCTCACTGTACACTAACACACTACTCCAACTATCATGAAACCTTTTAAATAAGCAGAATCTCTTTAGAAACAAAAAGGTTGTATGCATGAAAAACCTTACTCCAATAAGGAATGCATGAAGTCCAAAATAACCATGCAATATTGTTTATTCTAATCAAACAATTTCACTTTACGTAAGCAGTAGATACATCACAAGAAAGCTTCATTTGTGTCATTCCAAGGTATAACTGAAGATCTGTTTCATTCTCTACTTTAGACAAAGACTAAGGCAGGACTTCCCACAACCTTTCACAATAGAATTCACCTCACCTATACAGTTGAGAAGAAAGTCTTTGATAGCTGATACAGAGTAGCAACCTCTGTAAAATCATTCAGACACATGATAGAACAGTCTATACAATTCTACTGTACTGAAAAAAACCACAGGCAAAAAACAAACTTATTTGAAGTTGCATCTGTAATAGATACAATAATTACTATTTTCAGTATTGCAGCTTTTCATGATTGACTTCCAGATCAATCACAAGCAGCAACAAACAAAAAACCTGCTGCAACATGGAATCAGCTGCTGTCAATTCCCCAGTTTTCAACTACAGAATTGAAACTGAGAAATCATGAGATATTTCAAAGTGGAGTTTTTGGAGTGAATTCAGGTGCGTTTGTTCTTAAAAGGACTCATTCCACTACTTGGCTTTTAAGTCTGTAGATATGTCTTTCAAGGTCATCTGACAAAATTCAGAAAGAGGAATATTCAAACCATCTTATCTGAATACTAACAATGAATAGCAACTCTATCATACTCTGCAAAACTGGAAAACAATGGTGCTAACATTTACAGCCTTAATATGAACTAAAAAAACCCCTACTTCACTTTCACATAAGTAGTAAGAAGCAGCAGGCAGAACCCAGAAACGACTACTTGTTTTTAAAACCATTTTCATACACTTGACCTGCTGCTCTTTTCACCCACACCATGACCCTCGAAAGGAAGTGCTGAAGTAATGTGCATCCTAAAGATAAGCTCTTCAAGAAAGCGCAGCTACACACACCAGTGGGAGGAAGGGCAGGAGGAAGGAGGGTCCTGCCTCACAGCAAAGGAAACACCCTGGGGTAGGACAAGGCAGGAAATAACTGCTTCAGGCATTTCCTCTTGCGTGCTTGCAGATGAGCAGAACCTGCAGTGATGTTAAATCATCATCTTTATTCTTTTAGAAACACTCTGTACTGAGAAAAATGGCCATTACTGGGTCAGCCTGAAGGTCCTTCTAGCTCCATCTGCAGCAGCAGCCAAACAGAAGATATTTAGGAAGCAGGAAGTGAACAGGGCAATGCAAGTGCCCAAAACACCCTTCCAATTTCCAAGTATCTCCCATTTTAACACTCTTTGATGATGAGCAAGTTGAGGGACACCCAGAGCCCCAGGTATGCTACATCCATTAGCCCTACCACTTACACGTTTCATGATTATGTCAATGACAACATAAGGTTTGACTCTGCAGCCTTCCTGAGGGTGGAGGGAAGACAAGGTGAAAAATATTACCTTCCCCAGTGTATTTTCAGAACTACATCTGCCATTAAATTTGCATGACTCTGCAAACTAATCAAAAAACAACTTCTAGAATATTCTAAACAACATGCACACATTCAGTTCAAGAGTTGCATCATGTAACAGGAACTACTAGAAGTGGAAATCAGTGTTTATTTTTAAAAGACAGACCAAACATCTATCATTCTCTGCTACTCTAATCCTAAAGCTCAGAAAAAACACATGTGCTTAACAGCTTGGCTGAGCCTACAGTGCTAGGGTTTCCAAGTTCCTAATTGTGCTATGAATCCTCTGTACTTCACCCTTAATTTTTCCATATGCTTTCCAAAGTTACAAAATGGTGGCAATACTCCCAGCCTGGCACAGTTTGGGTTTATTGTGACTGACAGGGTTGACAGATGTACTTTGGGTAACACAGGCATCATATAATCTGACCTATTTCTACTGTCTTTGTTTTGTAGCAAAAATTTTAATTTTTTGATATCTAAATTAATCATGTAAATATGGATTTTTTTAAAACATCATTGTAATCCATAATTTTTCTCTTTCTGAAGAGGTACTATATATGCAGCACAGCATCTTGTCAAGACCAACCAGAATTTTAATCCCTCTCACTCAGAAGAACAAATTAATGAAGCAAAACTATACAAGGAAGATCAAAATCATTTCACCACGATTACAAGCAAATAGAAACTAGTACTGCTTCATACACTGCTGTCTGAAACAGAATTTGCTTTCAGTTTATAAGCTGAAACATTGAAAACAATGAATTGAAATACATTCTCAAGCATAAGTTTACAATGTGGCAGAAGACAGGGAATAAAATGAGATCATCTGAGCTGAAGATAAACTACATCTCTGTGCTGATAAGGGATTTCAATTTGTAATGAACTAATTTTCAACACTTCCTGGGTAATGAATATGGAAGGCTGGGGATACCAAGGACAAAAAAAGCTGCTGTAGTCTACAAGTAATTTGACGGTTGACACCATTTTCTAATCTTATTTTCTGTCCTTATATAAAATACTTCAAGAGGAAAAATAAGAGAAAGTCCTGGAGAACAGAACACTGTTCTGTTCACAGACAGTCACAACTACTCTCTTTCCTAACCCCAGCTCTCTAAAGTCATTTCAGGCTAAGCACACAAAACACCAAAGATCACCAGTCTCAAGATAGAGGTGATGGTGAGAAAAAGATCAGAAATTTTAGGAAACATGAAAAGATTTAGATTTATGATAATACATTTAGCAAGTTGCTTGTATCTCTGATAAGCATGACATATAAACAGAATATATATGTAAATAATCTTAACTATAAAGAAGGACAGAGAACCTCAGAAAAGTTATGGAGTTCAGCTTGAACTTCTTTTTCATTATACAACACCCAAAGTAACATTTGCCTGTGTCACAAATTTTGCACATAACACTAGACCAGCAGCACAAGGATGTTTTTCACTTTTTGATAAGTACCAGCAAAGTGCTAAACCATACAAACATAATGACTACATTATGAGCCTGCAAGGCAACACAGGTCAATTGGAGGCCACAAGACTAAGTTCTTGGCAGTTCTACTTTTGATTCCTATTCAGAAAGATAAAAGAATAAAATTCAACTTTAGCAATGTTCTTTTTATAAATTAAAACTGTACACAGTAAACAACAGAATATACATTCTTCCTTACCTGCATGTCTAAAATCAGTCCAGCTATCTGATTTTGCTGATTGTCTATGACCTACAATATAAAATTCAGCAGTTTAGAAGGCTTGAATCTCTTTAGATCCTTATCTAAAAATCAGCTTACAGGTGTGTACCCAGAGATTTTAAATAGAATCTTTGAAAATGTAAATGACAAGAGAAAGTTCAATTCTGAAAGAACATGAAATTCATGCAAAATAAATGTACTGAACAGAAACAGACAGGTATTGAAAAGTAATCTGAGTTAGCAACAAATGTGTAATTCTTTAATGAGATATTTATTTCTAATGTAGGAAAAATAAAAGAAATGCAGTACTTAAGGTTAAAGATGCCATGAGCAGATAATTTGCAGACTAACCTTACTGGCTTTCTCATTCTTCTCTTTAAGACATTCATTCTCATTCTGAAGCTGTTTCGTGTCCAACATAGGAAGCCGAATACCATCTTCCAGGCATTTTTCTACTTTCTGTTGTAAACTGTCATTCAACATAAAAGAAAGATTAAGAGGGCTGATTGAAACCAGAGGGTTGTGTGTTCTAGCAAAAACCAGAAACTTCCACCATCTTCCAACTAGACCTGTAAAAGTGTTCCTATCAGAATCCAGCCTTATGAATGAGCAAACCAAGAGCGGATGAATGATGCAAAAAACCCTAAACACTGAAGTTGCCATGGCAGTGGCAAGGACAGATTCATGCAGCAGAATGCATGTTTTATGGGCCAGATTGTGTGCTGTGTCTCCCAAAAGGCACAGCTCCAGCAGTACTGTGCAGGGAGAGAGGGCAGAGAGAAGCAAAGAAAAGCTTTGTGGTGCTCAGTTGCTCTGTGCTACTGTGGGAGGCAAAGCCTGCTCCAACACAGATCAGAGGAATTTTCAAACCTCTCAAAAGCTTCAGAACTTTAAAATCAGATTCTCTCTGTGTGGCACATACAAGTCAAAGTGGAGTCCAGAATAGAGGTGGTTCCCAGTACTGGCGGCCTGTCCTTCACGCTCCCTGTGACTCATAAGGGAGAGCACAAAGCCACTCCTGCCACATGAGACCCTCTGTAGCTCAGCCCAAGCCTCTAGGTGTAGCTACAGCCTTTGTTTGCTCACCTTCTCTCAGAAAGGAAATGCATTTTTTATTAGTGCTAATCTTGCTGTCTAATTTTGAAACCAGAGGTCACCCTAACTATTTGTAGGCTTTCAGAAAAGACAGAATGATCCCCCTTCTAGATGATGAGCACGAAGGAAAAAGGCCTTTCATTGGTAAGATGGAAACAATGTGTCAACAATTTGGCTGGCAGGGCCACCCAGCCAGCTTGCCTTTCATCATGGAAACCTTTCAGACTCCTGTGGCATGCACCTTCACCCAAGGGAGGGACAGTGAACTGCAGGAGATTCTCCCCTGCTTCACTCTTCCTTTTTTTTTTAAAGTTAAGTGTTTAAGTAGCTCCTCTGATCTAAAATGTAACACAGTAACAAAGTCTCCATGTCTTACCAGTAATATTCTTCGATATCTGCCCCATTTGTTTTTCATTTTTATGCAAGTTCAATGACAACAAATTACCTTCAGCTAAATCTCCCTGTAAATACCTGCACCCTCAGGGAAAAGGTAAGAACAATTTCTGGAAAGCTTTGACCCCTCCCTGACATACCCATCAGCCAATATCCAGGCAGTTTTTCCACAGCTCGTAACAGGATCAGTTATCTAACAGCCGTGCTGACAGCTTCTGTACAATGCCCCTTTGCTGCACAAATATATTCCATCTTCTATATGCCAGCAGGCTATGATGCCATTGCAGTAGTGTCCCACATCCTTACAGGAAAATAGTGAAGAGTGTCCTAGGCAGACTCTTCTCTGTGGTATTAATTGCAACTTGCCACAAATAAAACCCTTGCTATAAAAAGTCATTAGCGTTGTAATAGATTAAGATTACGAATAACATTAGGTCTTGACATCGAGTGGGAAAGCACACCCATTTCAGGGCACAGGCGGAGCAGCTGTTCATACCTCTGCACTGTTGTGACCAGCTCCTTTTCTTTTTTCTTCTGAGATGCCAGTTGTAATTCTCTCTCTCTGCACTGCGACCGGGCCTCGCCGAGCTTCTTTTCCAACTCAGCCATAGTTTCTTGAAGTTGCCTGTTCTTCTCTTCTAGAATGTGCAGCTAACACAGGTTACGTTAGTCAGACACGATGCCACATCAGCAGAAGGCCTTGCAGCAGGCCACAGCCTTGCTGGCACCTGCTGCAGAATCTCAGGCCCATTTTGCTTATCTGACTATGAGAAATCCTAATACCTACAGTGATTTCTAAAACATTGAAATGCTCCTCTTCCTAAACAGATAGTGGAAAAAAATGTACGTTGAAACAGTAAAAGACTTGCCAACAGATATTAGGCAGCTTACTTATATTTTCAAAAGGTAAACCAAACTCCCTTCACCTTACCTGTTTAGTCTGCCCTTCTATATCATCCAGTGTTGGTAGGTCAGCCAGGTATTTTTCTAAGGTTTCAATTCGTCTTTGTTTTTCTTTGTTTTGCTCAGACTCCTTCTGGCATTTCTTTTTCAGGCTATTAATATATCGATCTCTAGTTTTAAGCTAGAAGAAAGAAAGGAGTACAGGTTTTATGATTATGGTAAAAAATAAACCTGCTTTGGAAGCAGAGGCTGGTCACTCTCCAAAAATTGTACTCTCAGCTGCATGAAACATTTGGCTACTGCAGAAAAGAACACAAAAAATGATTAATCCCAGCAGCTCCAAGTAATAGACTCACACGTGACCTCACTCAAACCCCTGTTGCTTCACCTCTGCCCAAAACAATCCATGTGCCTTATCAACTGAAAACACAAACAGTTAAAATACTATTAACTTTTTCGCCAATGGAGATGTTCATATGCAACAAATGATTAGGACATATTTTAGTCCATGCTCTTTCTCTGGACTACGAAAACAACTCCAAATACAAGGACCAAAAACTTTAACTAAGAAGAATTGAAGCCAAAACCCTGACTTCGATGCAGTCTGACAATGAGATCAGGGGACATGAAAATGGAATAGATGCTTTCTTAAATACCTTTTCTAGAGGCATCTCCATTGTCCATCAGCCTGGAGAAATTTTTTTTTTTTATATTGTGTTACCTTAGTTCACATTCCTGGTACTTACTTTGCTTTATTACCTAAGTCCAAAAAGTGGGAAAAAAAGGCAGGAAGAAAGAGTATTTTCCACTGTGCCCCCCTGCCCTCTTTCCTTGACAGCTTTTTATTCAATGCACAAAATGGACAGTTGTTAAGGGGTGAATCAGGACTGTGCAGTGAATCAGGGTCCAACCTACAGACCATCCTGCTGACAAAAGCTCTGCTGCACAGGCCCTCACCACTGCCACCACACCAGTTCCTTCACAGCGAGGAACCCAAGCAGTAAAAGCTCAGAAAGGAAGAAGCTGCAGTATGCAATTTCTGCTCTTCCTGAATGTTACTCTTTGTGAAAGCACACTGTAGGGATCATAGGAAATGGTAAGACAGAATTTGAGATTAATTATGCATTCTCCTTTGTCTTTCCACTTGATACTTCACTGTATTATATTGCTTCTCTTCCTTGAATCTGCATTAATAGAAATCTAAACCCAGTAACTAAAGAAGAGAAGGTAACAGTGACAATGTGTCTCTAAAACATTAATTACTAACCCCTTGGTCAATGGCACATTCCTGCTTGCAATAAAGGACGCCTGTCAGTACATTCAAAACTACATCTGGGAATTGCTTCAGCCTGCAAAGAAACTCCTTGTCAAAACAGTTCCAAGAACACAGCCATCCTTGTCTCAGACTACAGTCTACTCTGAACATCCTAGGAAAGCCACAAGCAAATCACTCTTGCAGAGTAGGCACATACAGGCTGGTAAGTGTATCTCAAAGCATGAGGGCCACATTTACAAACCATGCTAAAAATAAGGATTTAATTTTCACACTCTATGTTTTTAAATGTTATTTTGTTTACTGTAATAAATACTTCAAGCTACAAGAATTCTTAGAGCTGAGTAGCATTTTTTCAAAGTTTAACTGATACCTTGTTAAAACTGTCATCATGATTACTAGTTTATCTAGTACCACTTTTTAGGATGCACTCTCTACGAGATCAGATTCATCCATTAGCAACACCTAAAATCATTAACTTTCAATTTTTCTATCACAGATAATTTAGCTATGTTTTGAAAATAGCTCAGACACCCACATAATAAGTTGCTTTCTAGTAAAGAAAACATATGCTGCTGAAACAGTGGCAAAAGGAAATATGGAACATGACAGACACTTACTTTCTCCTCCATCTTCTTTTTCTCCTCACTAGATTTGTTTGAAAGTTGTTTTACAATTTCACTGAGTTGTAATTCCTTATTCTCAGCTGCTGCAATCTTTCGCTCAAGCTCCTCAAGGTGGGAGGCTGATCTTTCTGAAATGTGAGGTTGCAGCAGTGTGCTCTCATACTGTGGTTGCTTACAAAAAGAAATAAAAAAATCATACAAATGAACGCACACATACCACTCTACATTTGAAAAGCACAGCAGAAAACAGTCCTGCCTTTTTTTTTTTTTGGTTTCAGGAAGGGTGGGGTTTGATTTTTCAAACATTAAAATACATGGCAACAGCATGTACTTCAGGAATCTGGAACAGAAAAACAAAGAAGCTGGACACCATTCACAACATATGCACAAGAACATTGCAGGGGCACTTTCCCCCTCAGATTTATGGAAGAGGTGTGATGTTTCTCCCAAAATAAATCCCTACAAATCCAAATAAAAAGCATTTTCAAAACAAATCACTGCCACTGAATTATCATACCATCTCCTGGGAAGAAAACCACTATAAAATGGCTATGAATATACTGAAGTAAGAGATGCTTTAATCCAAAGACACTTCTAAAGCAGAACATCAGTACTAGCAAACCTTAAAGCTATCACGCCTGCTGTGTTAATGGTGCAGGGACAAGCCTGAGAATAAAGCTATAATCAGAATTCAGGCTTCCTGTCTTCTGTTCTGTATACCAAAACTTCAACCCCCACTGTCCAGAGACAGACAAGCATAAAATGGAAGTCAGCTGCATGTGGGATGAAAAAGGAGATGCGTCCCATTAGGCTCTCAATTTCAAGATTCTTTTAATAACACAAATTGGTATCTTTAAAACTACTGTCTGTATAATTTCTTTAACTAGTGACATCCTTCAGCAAAGCATTAGGAGATTCAAACCTTCACTAAAGTAGATTTGCTTTTATAAGTTCATCTTATAGAAGGCACACAAATCAAGCAGGAACCCAAATACATTATAAACTTTCAAAATTCTTTAAATTATGAAAAATTAATGCATCTGCTACTTTATTTGAAGTGCAATATCGTGTACTAAGATATGTACACTAAAATTTCGGTTTCTGCACTACTGCTTCTTATTTGGTTGGTTTTGTTTGTGTCTCTCCCTGCCTCCCTCCCTCCCAAAACAATCCTAATCTAGACAGATTCTAAAATATTTTGTTAAAGAAGATCTGGAAGCACCAAAAGCAACATTCCTAGATGTCTGAAAAAGTTTCTGGATACCTAACTTCACACCAAGGCTCCACTTACATTTCTCTGCTGTGTCACACAACCCACATTCTCACATGATGTACAGCTGTGTTATTCCAAGGACATAATTAATGTCATGTTGAAGTACACTAGCTGAGATCCTAGTGCAGTGTTTGTGACAGAAAAAGGTAACATCATAAAAGAGGGACATAAAAGCTATTTCTCTGCATATCTTCCTTTAACACTCTCTCGCTGCATTGCCTTTTAGATATGCCAAGGCCTGAAGATTTTGTGTGCTGTAAGCAGCCACAATCCTCAAACTGCATTTTCCTGGTTAACCTATGCTACCTCATCCTTACGCTATCTTGATAATGGTGCCAGTTAGATGAAAGTTAGGACAATTATATCCAAAATACCACCACACATTCCCTTTCAGACTAAGTGTTCCCTAGGAGTACTAATCCATATCCTTTTCAGGTGTTTTGTCAAAAGGCATCCCACCAGTCTGTTTGCCCTCTCACATCTCTTCCATCTATTTTAGTGATACAATCTAACCATCCAAAGGGCTACCTCCTCCTCCTCTTCAGAAAACCTTCCATTAGTTGTTTTCAGATACTCTCCTATCATCTACTTTATCTCCTAATATCTACCTGTAGGACTATGATACATGCACTCTCTTAAACCCTTACTCTTACCGTGTCCTAATCCCTCATTCCCATCTCATTTTTATCAGACTTCAAAACAAGTATGTACAAAATTTTAACAATATTTATATTTCTGCAAATATAAGGTAAACTACAAACTTAAGAGGGTATCCTTTATACAATTCTCTGCTATGCAATTACACAGCCATCAATAATCACAAAGGCTCTACATTTTAGCCTGCAGTAAATTGTGAGCATGCGTTGAGGTGCCAGTTACTGGGCAATGGAAAGCTTTGATGAAAGAAAAATATTCATCCTACCTGTAAATTAGTCACGTAAGGTTCTTCGCAGTTCACAAGATGGCTCAGTCTTGCGTGTTGAGCTCGTAATTCATTCTCCCTTATCTTCTGATGTAAATTGTTAATTTGCTGATTTTGCCTGTAATACACAAATCTTATTTCAAAAGGACTGAATGGAGATTAAAAAAAACATTGATCTTAATACTTGTACTGAAGAATACACTAACAATGTTATTCAGCTATCCTGGATCTGTGTTAGCTGTGGGCTTTTTCCCACTGCAGCCAGACTGCAATTAGACTAATTGAGCACTAGAACTGGAACCTCATCAGAGTATGAACACTAAAACTACAGTTACCATGTGACTTGTGACTTTCACTTAAGCAAACCCAAAGGGTCTGTGATCAGTTCATAATAATAATAAGCAAATCCTGTAGAAATGCAACTTGAAAATTCTATCAATTCTGTGGGGGTCGAGGGAGGCTTCTGTTGTCATTTGATGCTAGGGCCAGAAGTATAAGCAGGGGAAAGTATACAGAAAACAGAATGAAAACAAACAAAACTCACACTTTCATTTTACTTGGACTTCTGTTCAGCCTCCCTCTTTGCCAGAGCTGATTTTCCAACCAGTAAAAAGATTTACAAATCAAGGGGAGCAGAAAGGACTTATGAAGAAAAGGTTATTATATAAGGTAGTCAGCACAGCTTTCCTGTAAGGTCTTTCTTTTTGCTTTGCTTAAGACTTTCTCAGTCAACTGCTTTATGCAAGATGTACCCTACCCTAGGGTAAAATATTTGTGTAAAATAATAGTGCTTGTGTACTAAAGGAGAATTAAACTCTTACACCAATTGCTTGGCCAGTATACAGCAGAAACAGTATTACTATTTAATTATATCACAAATGATATCACTGCTTAAATCATGACTGCATTTGAACTAGCATGACTGCAGGGCAAACACAAGCCAGGTCTCCACCCTAGGCCAAGTCCCAGCCCTGCGAGGTGTACAGTGCTCTCCATGGAGCGACGGGCACCTCAACAGCTGACTCCAGAACGGAGTTGTCAGCAGCCAGCAGAAAGACACAGAGCAACCTCCTCAGTAAACTTAAAACCAACTTTGTGCACTCTACTAATTTTCCTTTTTCCTTCTTTTTTATCTGAGGATATATTTGCATGCAAGCATGCAATTGTTTTGCAAAGCTTCATCTCTAAGCAAGCAGTAGGACTGGCTTTTCTGTAAACCATGATGCTGAACCCGGATGTCTAAACTCAATCTTAAAAAAGAGATAAAAAGCAAATGCAAGTTAACTTCAAGGGAGAAGACCTGCCTGCGCACATACTGGAAAAGCAAATCCTGCAAAGCATAGAAAAAAAATCAAAGCCTGTGGCTTTTTTTAAAATTGGGGAGGGTTGCATTTATGAAGAGCATCTCGGAATTATTATTATGAGTATACAAAACATGTATTATACAATTTATAAACAAACATGAAATATGTATTAGTTGAAAAGATGCCAACTGCAAATTTTAATAGGAAAAATAAGATGCAAAAAGCCCAATTAAAGGGACTATTTTAGCTGCCCATATTCTTCTAGCTAGTTATCAGTCAACTGTATTCCAATTATTTGGTTTATAAGAGGAATTTCATATTTGAAAAATATTGAATATATTAAAGTTAGCCTTTTCTCAGCTAGATGTGTTATAGATGCATGCCTACAGAACACCTTTTTTTAATTTTTCCCTATTTTTATATCTATAAAGAACAGCAATGAATGGAAAACCAGTATATATAAGCTGCCATTTGGAAGTATCTTAGAAGTATTCATTCAACGTGATTCATAAGAAGGAAGAAACTGAATGTATTTATGTGACTCCATAGCAAGCCTTAAAATACTTTCTATCAGCACAGGTCATTTTGAGGCTTACTTTTGCCATTCCACTATTTAGACAGAACAAGCTTGTACAAATATAAACAGAGTATGCAACCCTGAAAAACTTCGTACAGTTCTGGTTGGTATCTGTAACATGGCACTACAAACAAAAAGCTTCCAACTTATTTTGGAAGAAGCGGATTCAAAGATTAGGTAAAAGAATATGCTCTCAACTTGTAACAGACCTTTTATAAGCCCAAGAGTTATTATACTCATATGAGAAAATATAAAGCCTTGACAACTTTTGTGCATGCCTGGTTACAGAGACCAAAATTACTTAGTATGAGTTATCCTAACCTATGAACTGAAGCAAATTTTAATTTTTTATCACCTTATTACTTACTAGACAGATGTATTAAAATTTCTTTGCTCCATGCGCTTTAAAATTATTTACCCATTTGTCACCTCTTGAAAACATTATGTGATTTTCTGTTTACAGCTGACTGTAGCTTTAGCAGTGCCTTCTTTACCAGGCAGGATTTCAGTAGCCTAAACTAAATGCTACAGCCTAGAGTAAATGTTTCAAGATATTTTTGAACTTCCAGTGTAGTTTGGACTACATTACCATATTTCCTTTCATAATCCTTTTCCTACCCTACCAAATCCCTGCAGGAAAAAAGGTGAGACAAATTAATCCGTGATGAGACAGAGCACAGAATTTAACTAGCTTGCTTCTTTTCACTCTGCAAAGCATGAAAGTCTCCACCGTTATAAAATCTTGCCAACAAAACACACCATAGAAATTTTTCAAGGCTGTGTAAATCCTGCTCAACTTCTCTGCATAACTACCTCTATGAAAACAACATTAACCTCATGGCACTCAGAAACAAAAATTCTGAAAACAGCAGCAGTCACAAGGAGAAGATAAACACCACACAAACATATTTACTATTTACATACAATCCCTTAAGTCTTTGGAGACTTCATACCAAATGCATTTTGTCACTGATACTCTCATATGCCAAGACAGTTTTAATACTGTGTTAGCCCATCCCTGTTACTGTTATTCTGCTGCATAACCCTTTATTTAAAGGGAGCGTAGAAAGTTCAAATGCTCTCAAAAACACAGCTCGCCTATTACAGCGGGAATACTGTCCCCAGAAGCTCCTTATTACCAATCAATCATCCCACCACTTTAAAAAACCAAAACCAAACACAATCAGCCTTTAGCATCTAGAGGTCGTCAAGTTTCTGTCGAGCTCCTAAACCTCCTTCTCCTCCATGGCACACCACAGGTACCGCCTGGCCCAGCTGCCACAGCTGGAACAGGGACCTCCACTGTGGCCCACACTGGCACTGCTGTGCAACCAAGAGAGTTGGTGCTCTTCTTCTGCTCATCAGCGAAGGGAGAAAGGCAGGACAAGTACTGGCTTCAGTGATGAGCATCACCTCACTAGGACATTTGTATTTCAAGTCAGGCTCAGAAAACAGCAGGGAAATGCCCCAAAAAGACCCCCAATTATGGGTCTGCTAAATTTGCTAAATTTGCAGTCTGTCTACCCGTGTACAGCAAGGGGCTGTTTCTGGTGGGGCACATGCCCTGTGCCACTATTCTCTGCAGACAAGCACATCGAAGACAACATGCTACGCCCCATGAAATGGCAGCCAAGCTCCCCTCATCCTGTGACTCTACTTACAAGGCTGTCTAGAATTCAGAGGAAAATTAATGCTGCTACTTGACACTAACTGAATCCATTTAAAGGAGCAAAACCAAAGTTAGAGCTGTAAGAGTGATGTATTGATGGGAAGAGGGGAAGATCTCTATTTTGATTCAAGTGCAGTTCTGTCCTTTAGCTCAAACAATCCCCTTTGAAAACTCAAGTCAGCACAAAGGACACGGGATCCCAGACAACAGAGTTCAGCTCAATGTGCACAAGCCTGGACTGTCTCCAGAGACCAGCATTAATAAACTGCTTAATATACAAATTGCTTCTCCCTAAGTCTCAAAAATATTAGTACAACATAACTGACATTCACATCATTTTCTCACATTCACAACAGGACAAGCATGGACACATGCTTATACAGACACTCATACATGCATTTATCTAGAAACAAATCACATTTTCTTGAACATGGGACCAATTCATCTGTTCTCCATAAGCCCATTTTACCCCACACTTTAATACGAAAGAGCCTTTAGAAACATTTGCCAGAGTAGCACTTTCTCCCCTCAACTTTTAAGTTTTTCTTAATTTTAATTCTTTAATTAGCGTAAATCTAAATCCCACACTTCAAGTCAAGATACAGATCCAGTATCTTCAAACACCTCAGGGACTTTAGAACAGAGCTTCCTCCACCACAGAAGGGACACTAGTAACTTCATAAGAAATCAAATTACAATTAATGCTTACCTTAAAAAGTCACGAGGTTATGAGAATTTGCTGCTTTAGGTGAAAATGTGTGGGCAGATTTCTTCAGAATTGAGATGCAAAGTAGAATACAACACAGATCCCTCTCTATCACAGATACAATTTATTCCACACCGCAGCTGGAGGTATGCTGCTTTGTTTTGTTGCTTAAGAAGTTAGATACAAATTTTTATATCCCTTTGTTTTAGAGGCACAATCTCTTGGGACCACAAGTCCAAACGTGCAGAACACTGATAGGGAAAGAGATCCTTTGTAAACAAAGTCCTAAAAACAATGTGAATACATTTTCCGGAATTTGGAAGATAATGCCAAAGAACTCCAACATCAGCAAAGTTAATGAGAAAAGATACTGTCAAATTTCCTATGCAATAAAGTCTGCTTTTTTGGTGAAGTTAGGAGACTGCAGTTCTAAGTGAACCTTTCCACCAGCCACAGCAGAACTCACCTTGAAGAGAAGATGGGAACACTACTTTTGGGAGTCAAGACATGATCAAGTGGATATGCTAATGTTGCAGATCTTAAGAAGCCGTCCAAACAAAAAGAATTACAGCTTTACACTAGCATTAAAACAAGCATTACCAGAGCACATACAGTTTGATGTCAATTACTGAGGGCAGGACAATTTGATATATGGCAAAGAATATTTAATACTCTTGTCCCAGTGAAAATATCCAATCCTAATTCTGTTATGGATTAAAAGTTAATGATTTAGCAACTGTTTTAAGAATGTAAATGCTGTTTTGCCCTGAGGAATAACAGCTATTCACTAAAACTGTATTTCTCTATCTACCTTTCCTTAAAAAGCTGTTCAAATGCCCTTATGCTGACTAGAAGAGAACATTGCATGCACAATGGTATTCTCAGCATCTTATGTCATATGTTCAGATATTTAGCATTTATTCATGTACCCCCTATTTGCAGCCCCTGCCACATAAACACTGCCAGGATCACACTAGAGACATCGACAGCGGCAGTGCAGTCTCAGGAGACATTCGCCATTGTACCAAACACTGTAATTTCAGTGTTGTTATGTACTGAACAAAGGAGCAACGTAAAGAATTAAAATGTGATGGTGTAATTTTCTAAACCAATACAAACAATGTTGGCTCCCTCTGGTGCTAAACATAATGTAGTGTTACATCCTAACCCACCAGAGAAGTAAGGCAGTGATATAATCCAATTATTTTCGTATACTAGGTAACAGACATTCTACTAAAGTGTTACAGCAACATATTTCCTCTTACAGACAAATCCTTAAGTCCTCATTCAAGGCCTGTACCAACAATTCTTATGTGGAGAAAACATGACACACATCTTTAAGAAGTGCCACTGAGATCCCATGGACACGTGCACGCAGAGCAGGCTCACTTCCTTATGCTACGTTTTCATTTCCTAAAAGCACCATCTTCTCCTCATTTTTTTCAGAGCAGACTTAAAGACCATTTCAGGTTTTTATTAATTAAATTAGAAGTGACTTCTAGAGTAGTTTTAAAAAGCAAACCAAAATGACTTTTAAACCCACTCCTTTATGCTACTGGGTACTACTTAAATAAACGCCTTTGTTATGGTGAAAAGACTACACAAATAAAATCAGTTTTAATTTACCTACTACTACATCTGTTGTTCAACACTGTACAGAACAAAAATTGAGCCATTTATTCTATTCACAGGTGCAAGGGGCTGTTTGGGTTTTAAAACTCTACTTACAGCCTGAATTTCCAGTGACACGCCAAAGTATACAAATATGATGATTTACACTGTAAGCATTATTCCTTGAATTGTTTTTATAGCTATTTGAAACTTACTTGCAACTATTCCTAATTGTTAGATTTCCAATGCAAAACAAAGAAGTTTAATAATCTAATCTGGAAGGGTCAGATTTTTTTGCCTTTTTATCTTTGTGAGGAAAGAAGAGAAGCAGGCAGCATGTTTCGCCTTCCTTCTCCCGCCCTTCCTCCCTTTTTTAACAAGATAAAGGTAGAACAGCTTAAGGATACTACCCTGTACAGAGCATCCACTCCCTACAAATCAACAGATTCAAGCACCAAGGTGTGTGATGTTAATCTCCTCCATTTCCTACAAAAATAGGACACCAGTACAATTCTCAGCAAGAGTGTTTAACCTTAAAAAAATGGCTAATGTCCCTGTGGGTGAAAGGGAGGCTGGTGACAAGTGCTGGAGAATGGTGTTCCCAGTGTGCATCTTTTTATCCAGCTGCTCTTGTACCTGCCAGCAGCAAACAGCTTGTTCTGGAGCACTATGTCAGCTGCTGTCCCACTGCATAACCCATCTCTCCTGAGCTTCTGTTCCCCCAGAATTAAACAAGTCTTGCTGGCATCTCCCAGCTACCAGTTTGTAAATTCAGCATGAGACATGACTTAAGGACATGACACTTTCTAAAACTCCATCAGAACCACAGGTACAAAGGGCCTTCTCAACAAACACCTACTACCTAACCCCAATCAACAAACTAACTCCTCCTCCATTTCCTCAAAGCATAAATTCTGTAATTTAACTACTACCGTCTGGAATTGACCACACTTTAGCAAACTTTATATTTTTTATTTTAGGTCACTATTCCCAAACAAATTCAAAGTCTGAAAAGAAGTTTAAAGTAAGATCAGGAAGACTAGGAGCTGGAAGATTTAGGTTTACTCCCAGATATCATCTTGAATCTCAGTGCAAGGCTTTGTGTGTCCACAAGGTAAATTTCCACTTAGTGCCTTGAAGAAAGGATTCACACTTAAGTCTTATTAATAATTGATCTGATAAGAAATATAATACTAGTACTTTTTAATGGAGTTCTATTTCAAGATTTTTGCACAGCAGCTTCATGAGTGAAACCAAAAGTATTTTTATTTGTCATAGAAGACAAAACCTCTTCTTAACAAAAAAAATTTAAGAATCTATTGCAAAACTTTGTAAATATGCAACATCAATTCCTACTAATCTTGAATAATACAAACCATCTATTTTAAATGTTTTTATTTAATTTTAAAATAACTTTTAAGGTATTTTGTCCAAATGGAGGCTCAATATTCAAAAAAGAGCCTGTTCTGTGTATTGTTATACTGCATTATTATAAAGTACAACATGCTTAACTCTTACACCAAGTGTCTACTTAAATGAAACACTGTAACATCACTAAGTGGCCTTTGTTTCACTTCAATAGCTTCCAGAGTATATTTTGCCATTTCAGCTGAATGAAAAGAAATTATCTAAACTGACTTCTGGTCAGAAATCTAGAAAGAACTGTATTCACCATCATTAAGACACTCAAAAATAATGACTTATAAAAAAAAAAAGAACAAAACACTGCCACTGGATGTCAAGAAACAGCTTTTCTTCCTCAACATGACTAGTATCAAGTAATGTTAGCAGGAAATCAGGTTACAAACTGTCACTTCAGAAACTTCACCCTTGACTGCAAACACACTTCCAGCGTAACAAGAGCAACACGAACTGCATTTTTAGTTGCCACTGTGGAACAAGCCTTCACGTAGAGTGCAGAGGAACATAAGCTCAGCAGAGGCACCAAAGACTGCCCCAGACATCAAGGGCCATGTACTCACAAAGGCTGCTGACAGCCTGGGCCCCAGGAGGAAGGCTGCAGGTTTGCTGCTACTGATATAGCAAGCCTGAAAAAAACACTGTAATATAGACAGTAGATCTAGGCAGCAGATCAAAAGGCTCTGACAGAGGAGATGTAAACAACAGATAAGGATGTTTCCATTTTAACTGCTTACCCCCCTGGGAGATGACCACCCCCGCAGGAGAGCTGGCAGTGTGCCCATTCCTACCTGGTACCACCACAGCAGGTAAACACACACTAACATCCTACATCCCACTGGGGAAGAGGATCCCAACCTTCAACAGTGCAATGCCAGCAGAGTTACTGGTCAGACTACTAAGGGACAGAAACACCTTATACCACTGCAATTCCTCACTCTGTTGCAATAATGGAATGAACAGATCTTGCACAAGTGTAATTCTCCTGGTCCCAAAGTAAGTTATGCCCAAGTTGCCTATCTCTACCCATAAAAAGATAGAAATTACTAAATTAAATATAAAACTATTTATAATGGATGCCTAACATTAGTGTGATCAACACACACCTGCTTTACACAGTTCTCCTCATGTTGTGGAGCAAACTATCAATAACAAGAGCACAACTATATCAAGAACAATCACTCTTCTTTCAGCCATGAGTCAAGAGTTTATTATTGAAACACAGACTATGCCAAATTACCATTATGTCAAATATAAAAATATCCTCCTTAAATGTCCTACATCCAAACTCTGCAGTGCTTGGTGACATCTATTTTAGCGTAGTCTTCATTAAGCTCAGGCTCTTATTAAAAGCATATTTTCTTCATTAAGAGGCCCATTCGGATTGACAGCAATTTTAGTAAGAAGTTATGTATTTACTCCTGGATTTTATATTTTATTATTTGAACAATTTGTATCAGTGTCCGAATAGGATTTTACTGCTGAACATTACTGCTAAGGCCAGTTTCTCAAAGTTTTATGAACTGGCTTTAAATATATTGCCTTTCTGTACTTGTCATGGAAAAGAAAATCAGCACCATACAACTGATCAGTTTTCATCTTGCAAGTCACTTGCAAGATCTGTACAAGCAGAAAAATGTCTGATACAAACTCCCAGACCAGGAAGAAGCTAAGAGGGGAAGCTGACAGCAGAACTGACTGTTGGTATCACTTTCCCTTTTCCACTCCAGAGGCATTAAACCCCCTAAATACATTTCCAACTTTGTAAAAGACTTTTAGCCAGCTGCCAGTCTTCTCTCCTAGCAAGGATTAGCTCCCACGTATTCGCACATAAATAGTGGCTGGATTGAAGCCTAACAACTGTATGAGTAAGCAGCTCTCCTGAAAGTCAGCTTTTACACTGTAGCTTTTACATCATCTCATCTAATGAATGGAGCAGGAGCAGGTTACTCACCGATCAATCACAAACTCTTTCTGTCTTAGCAGCCCCTCTTTAATTTTCATTAGAGATTCCCAGTTGCTGGAGTCCTGATAGCTGGTAGCTGGGTAACTTGGACGAGATGTTCCAGGTGAAACCTGTGTAAAATAATTGTAGGATTAGCCTCCAAAACAGTAAAGGTAAATAATGTCCTAGGTATTAGGGTGTTTACTAAGTGGTTTGTTCTTTCAGAAACCTAAGAATTGTTTTCTAAGTTTAATTCAGATTTGCTTTGTATAAAACAACTGCATTTATAAACAAGTTTCTTGAAACAAACTTCAGTGTCAATGATTTCATTATTTCTCTACTAAAGAATTCATAGCTCTGAAAGCAGTTGGAATGAAAAGCTCATTTAGAATTTAGGTACATCATTAAGACAAACACCACAAAATGCTGCAATTCTTGTAGCACTTCAAACAAGATAGCTTGATGATAACTTTAGACCTGCTGGTAACTGCAGGTAACAGTTACCATTCACCTGTTCAACTCCCATTTGTAATGGCAGAATACAGAGAAACTTCCCTTGAACTCTGTGCATTTAAAATACAGAATATGGGAGTATAATTCTGATATAATATGGGAATATAATTCTCGTTAAATTTCCAAGATTAAACAGGTTTCAGGCTTTCTATTCATTTTCACAAAATCCAGGCTCTGTGTCTCACAACGAACTGAGGACAACAACTGAACTGAATATGAACCAACAACATCGCAGTTTGGAAGCAAAGTAAAAAATTAACTGAGATGTTTAATCAAGAAAGCATTTACTACAAATTTATTATAAATATTTGTATCAGGAATTCACATAAGGGAAGGCTTAAGACAGAGTTTCTGTGATCAGATTGAGGGATCCCAGCATCAGCTGCCATCAGGTATCATCTAATCTCCATCAGTTTTTTTGAATAACTGAAAAAAAATTTCTCTTTTTATTATCTGGGAGGCATCCTGGACTATGTTGTCTTTCATGTTTTTGAAAGAGAGCAGAAGAAAAAAAAGTGAAAACATGGGTATTTTTTTTAAAGTTTAAATAGACTTCAAGATATTTTTACTTGTATTGCTCTACAATTTTTTAAATTTCATTTGAAATTACAACAAACTGTATTAAGACCAAGACATATCATCAACAATTAAAATCAGTTAGACAATTGTCAAGCAGCCCACACTTCTGGTCAAAGTTTTACTGTGACTTGTAACAATGAAAGCAAAGAATTCATTGCTTAAATCCCAATATCATGATGTGCTGAAGTCAGGAACCAACCCCTTACAACTATGGCCTCTTCTGTAACTCTGAAAGTACTTTTTTCCATTCAGTCTAGTTCAGTTCAAACTCCTGCTTGCCTGTTGAGAAAAAATGGGCAGAAGCACATCTTTCCTCTTTTAATTTATAACTTAAACCCAGATAAGATGACAAGACTTACTATTTCTAAAAATCTTTCCAGACTGTTACACCCCCACTTCACTCCCCGCCCCCAAGTCCAATTTATCTCCTTCAGGGAATATTTCCTTTGCTTAACGAACTGGATAGCTTCAATTGTAAAATGAGATATGAATGATTAAAAAAAAACCCAAAGCCTCAAACTCAACACTTCTACACATTAAATAATGCATGCCAATTTCTGGCCAAAGATGCACGAAGAATGTTGAGTGTGTTCCTTGCCAGACAACATCAAGTATTGTATCTTTACTGAAAAGGACACATTGACTGGATAAATAGTGCTTTTTGAGGAAAAGTAAAATGTGAAATATTAAAATTAGGTTTTATCCTAAAATAGTTCACTGATATGGTTAATATATCTTGTTCCATGCTCACTCATGAGTACATTCCACAAGCAATAAAAAGCACAGCAAACATTCAAAAATTCTCCCAACTGTTGCCCCTAAAAAAGTGTCTGATACAACTAGGTTTGAAAGTTTAGGGGCAATAAAATTTATCACATCTGCAATTTCTAGTAAGTCAATCCATTAATCCTATACTTGTTCAAGGAAGTTATGTTAAAAGATGGTACTGCACTCCCCTGGGAGGCAAGGAATGGCAAAGCTAAGTGCTGCTTGGATTAAGATCGAGCACTCAGCTGTTAATCGATTTAACAGTCATCTTGCTTCATTTTTCATGCACAGTGATCGATATTAGCATTAAAAAATCCTAAATTGGTGGTATCACTTTAGCTTTTTTGTTTGTTTGGGCAGTGATCTAATAAAACTTAGGAAAGACACCAAGTCATGATTCTTCCTGTAAGTAATACACGTGTCAAGTCCTTAAGGCTTAAGGAATCTAAAATTTATTTTGCCTGGATTGCTCCATCCAGACAAGATAACTTCAAAGTTATCTTCGGGTGCTCACAGAATACCTTGGGATTGTCACATATTGTTCTGTATTACAGTTATACATATGACTGGTTGAATTAAGAGGCATCAGCACAAACCTATTTAAGTGAAAGCCTCTCTTAGTGACACATGTCCTGTCATGCAGTGTAAAGTGACATCAGGAACTATCACTGTATTTTGTGTCATGAAATTTTTTCCTTTGCTTTTCCCACTACAGTGGGATGAATGCTTTTCTATATCCACCTCAACACCATTACACTACAGTCAAAAAAGAAGAAAGAACTAGTCCTTAATGCAGCTGAGATTATATCCTTATTTTTCAGAGCCAGAATTTCCATCTCTACTCAAAAGAAAACCCACAAGGGTTGGACATGATGAACAGGAAATATATGGATTTATAAAGCCAAACCAATTTATTGAGCAGGATGAATTTTGTCTCTAAGGCAAAATAAAAATTAAGAGATTAAAGACAACTATTTCAATATGAACCCACCTTAAGTGAAGACATTCTGGAAGTCATCAGTGGTTTCTCTAAGAAAATTCTTCAATGCAAGCCCCTTACTTCAATCTAGCACCTCTACAAACTTAATAGTTTGCAGTAAAATTGGAAAGAAACTCTTCAACTTTGGTACATAAGTGATTATACAAGTCAATTAAATATTATTGCTGCTGAAAAGCAAGGCAATGAGTTTTGCAAAGCTAAGAACAGAGTAGTATTTTGTCAATTAAATGCTCACAATAGTGTATTGGTTCGTTGGTGGTTTTTGTGTTTGTGTTTTGGTTTTTGTTTTTTTTTTTTAATCTAATACATAAAGCCTTCTTACGTGATTTACTGAGATGCTTTAAGTTTGGAATATATCTAATCCTGTGGAGTATATACATGCTGTATACACATACGTAACAAATAATTTTTTACTTTTGCATTATAACTGTGTGTTTCAATTTTTCTCTCTGAACAAATGAAAACAGCAACAAAAATGTTTGTTTCTGATACCATGGTTCATCCAATTAAAAAAAAAATATACTAAAAATACTTCATAGCACTTCCCAAAATAACAAGACACTTCACTCATTTATGAGCACCTGGTGTTTACTACAAACAGCTTCCTAGCTGCTTTGAATGGTGTGGTAACACACAAGCAGTCCTCTTACGCTTGAGTATCTTGTCTCCTAGGGATATCAAACCAAATAGTGAGAGCAAGATACACTTCTATGGCTCATATTTAGAGAGCATCCACTACTCTGAGTTCTCAACTTGAATCTGCCACAACTACAAAACAAAATACCAGCTGGAAAGACACAACATTCTTTTCTATCTGCCTTACAAAATACATCTATTTTTGTCACCTGGCACCTCTTCCAAGAGTATCAGCCCTGTCCCGAGAACATCTGTTCAGTTAGAACAGATGGCACACTGGCATCCAAAGGTCCTTACTAGCTTGTTTTTTAACAAGGGCTTCAAGTCACTGCTGGGGCAAAGTCAGCTACCGGGAAAAAAACACAAGAAATCTTTGCTGTACTAGCCTGTATGCAAATATTTACTGGCGGAACAAACACTGCTGTTATCAGACACTGTTTCTTATCAGTGGGAAAACAATTTTTCTCTGGACAGAGTGTAACAACATTTAGATAACTTAAGTCAAATATGGCTGGGGTTTTAACTGTGCTAATTAAAATTATCTTCTCCAAACATGTTCATAGTTTCTGCCTGAAGCAGTTTGGTGTCTCAGCACACAGAGTAGCACAGCATCCTGTGTGCAACATGCTGTATCATGAAGTAAAGGTGAAGTTCTAAAATGCCAATATAATAGCTAATCTCAAAAAAACCCAAAAAAACAGAAAGCTCAATGCATTTGAAAGGTTGTTGTGGTGGTTTTTTTGTGAAAGGTGTAGTTTACATAATTCAGTGCTGTCTATACTACAATTGCAAAATTTCACAGTCCATTACTAACAACTAGCAGAGCACCAAGAGTTAGGCTAAGTGCATGATCCCTTCTGGCCAACTGCTTGCACTGCCTACACTATCATAAACCTCTCTCTGTAGGGATCATTCTTCTCTCCTTCCACTGCATTTTACAGTTATTACTCAACAGAAAGAGAATTCCTTGCAACCACAGCTAATCCAAGGCATAGGATCAGCACAACCAATGTTAGCAGGAGCACAAATGATTCCTTTTTTTGACTGCTGGTGGAGGAAACAAATATGCGTGTCCCCACAGGCTGTGCCTCAGGGACACAGCACTTGCTCTACCACATCCCTGGACGATGAGGGAGAAAGAACAATTGGATGTGGCAACAGCAAGCCCAAATACACTATTATCACAGAGATGCCTCTTGCTTTTCAGTCACCTGTGATAGGAAAAGGATTAGACCTGTAAAGGCAGAGCAGCAGTCACTGGTGAACTCTGCTCCCCACCCCGGGTAAGGAAAAAAAGGATTTATCCACCCCTCCTCCCCAGCCAGATTTCTGGGGAGGCTGTTTCAGCTCACAACAGCTCCCTTAATTCAGACAATGCTGAAAGATCATTCATCGTTTTGCAGGCAAAACATAACAGGATTAGTAGCTCTTATGCAGGAAAAGCAACAGGAGGCTGCAATTACGGAATAAGGCCCTAATTTTTAGGAATCATTTATACAGAAAGGCTGTGCCTTGGTGAAACACACTAAAAAGAACACCCACAAAGCAGCAATACAGGATTCCCAGATGGATAAAAACAAGACTACAGACTGACTGAAGAAATCCTGACTTATAGTATCTGTATCTCCCCATCAC